ATATGATTCAACTCAGTATATATATATATAATTAAAATTCATCAAATTCGAATATGATATTCATCCTACGTCTAACATAGTCGTGGAGGCACGCTTTGCGAATTATTTTAGTATATTTTTTGTTATTATTTTTACATTAAAAAAATCGAGGATTCATTTCAATTGCTGGATTACACGTTTCGAACATTCGAGTGATGTCCCACGACTTGCTGACACTCCCCAAACGTACATCTGGGGCCTACTGTCTGGTGAAGGGTTGTCAGAAAACACAGTCTCCGGTTTATCTCCACCGTGTCGTCCACCGTGCACGACTCTAATGTTAATTAAGTGCATATACGGCTACACACAGAAGGAATTAACCCTAAAAAAAAGTAAATGAACTTTTTTTTCTATTTTATTTATTATACTTTTTTTTTCAATTGACTCATTAAATTTTAGAATTGTTTAGATTTTGGTTACTTACCATTAACAATTTAACGATGATAAGATGTGGTATAAATATTAAGTCGGCGTTATTTAAATTTTTAAATTTATACTAAAATGATGTCCGTTCATATTGTATATATTTTTCTTTTTATTTTCTTTATTTTTTTCTCCCATATTCTTTTTTATTTATAAATAATCTGATCAATCATCTTCATTAGTCATCGTATTATTTTTTTTATTCCGATCATCGTTTACCGTCGATGATGCTGGAAACCGAATATGTTTCCATCAATCAATTTATAATTTTCATGAAGACATTAAATATATTAATTTGATGATATTATATATTAACTTTAGGGTAAATTATATGTTTAGTACTTAAACTATCAGTTTTGATATATTTTAGTATCTAAACTTTTAGTTTTTTTCTAAATCATACCTAAAGTTTAGTTTTTATTTTATTTTACTATATCGTTCAAAATGTAACGTTAAGTTTTGAATTTTTAAAAAAAGTTTAGGTACTAAAATAGACCAAAACTGATCATTTAGGTACTAAACGTGTTAAGAATTTTACGGTGAGGTACGAGAGTGAAACATAAACTAAAGGTTACATGTGGTTTTAAAAATTAAAAGTTTAAGTACTAAAACGGACCAAAACTAATAGTTTAAGTATAAATACGTAATTTACCCTTAATTTTATGATACCAGGTTTTTTAATCAAAAGTTCAAAAATTAAATTAATATTTTATTAAAATTTATAGATCAAATTAAAAATTAATCTCTCTCACTAATATTTTATATTATTAAATTAACAACATTTAGTGCTTCAATTGCTAAAATTTTATAAACCAATCACGTAAATCAATAACATAAGTGACTAAAACATTATTTCTAAAAAATCAGTAACCAAAACTAAATAAAAATAAATTGAAAAGGGCCATTTCAATAATTTATCCTTTATGATATTTAATAAAGAGATATAATTGTGAACTGAATACCAATTATGTCAATTTTAAGTATTAAAAACCCACCAACTATACTCATCTAAAATGAAATTCAACTTGACTCAAATTTACGAGCCTAATTTTTTTTAACTCGAGTGAACTTAAAACCATGAAATAAAACTCGTAAAAGTTCTAAATGTAAAAAGATTATAAACTTAATTCGATTGAAACATTAAACTCAAACTAAAAAATAAACCTTAAATATATAAAAATCTTATATTATATTTAAAAAAATCAACACATAAATATAATATTATTAATATTTTATTTTTAAATAAAATATTAATATATTATATTTTCAAACTGTTCGCGAACTTTTTGAGTGTAGTATCAAATTGCTTGTTTTAGCTCGTTAAAAACTTGAGTCAAGCTTAATTCGAGTATATTCGAGTCGAGCTCAAGTCGAATCTATTTGAGCCGAATATTTATCAAACTTTGACTTTGACCAAGTCGATATCAAGTAGCATCAGGATTTGTCTCTATTCAGAACAAATCTCACAAGCCAGAGTGCAAACTTTGCAGCAACTCAAGCTGTAGATTATGTCGCATCAAAATTTCAATAGATTTAAAGCTAACAACCATAACAAGTAAATACCATATTACATATACACACAAACACACAATAAATATGGCTAAAATGGATATCGAGTAGGAAAGGTTCGAAGCCAATTGAACCGCAAACATTATTAATGGTTCGTTGATACATTTTGATAATGGAATCTACTTAAGCAGAACATCAATATCATCCCAATCATCCCCAACCCCGATATAAGATCGTTAACGAGCCCATGATTTCCACTGACCTCTAAAAGCCAGCACACAAGACAGAAAAGGTAAATTCATTCAAGAATGACGACTCGGGCACACCTGCATTTGTTCCTTTCAGAACCGGTCCACCTTATCGGCTTTAACAACTGGATTTGCTTTGGCAATGGCGTCTCGTCCAGCACCCTTGAAATCGAAGGAGCACTGGTGTTTTTCCGGGTATCGGTGCTCACCACAGAAGGTGCTCTCACACCTGCACTTGAACCCGGTCAATCCAACCTTCTTTTTGCAGATAAAGCACCTGTTTGCCAGCTTCGCTCAGCCGGTTCATCAGCAGCAACAACAACAACCGCCTGTTGCTCAATGGCAGTAGATGAGGACACATTAGATGGCTCCTCGACACGCTTGAACGCCTCTGCAACCACTTCTTCCAGCTTCATTTCGACACCAAGAGATCTCTCCATGACCGCTTTTGCCTTGGCAGCTTGTTCCTCCCCAGTCCGGAGATTACAATAACACTTGGAGCAGAGGTTCATATTCGACGCTGTGCCAAAAAACCCACAGCCGTTGGCACAAAGCTTTGGCTCAGACGGAGGAAAGCTGGTTCCTTCATTCTGCTCAGAACCCATGGTTTCTTTTTCGTTGTCCTTCTGTGCAAGTGTACTTTGGTCTCTACAATCAAAGATGAGAAAAACAGGATAAGTGCCTACTTCTTGATTTTCATAGAGAATCAGATGGAATCAAACTTAAATCACTCCAGCGAGATTCGGCCAGCCAACGATACAAACACATACACATATATTGATTGTTTTCCTGATAGCTTAATTAGCCGAACAGAGATTTTAACTGTTTGTGTTTAAAACCTAATTTAATGGAAAATAACTTAATTTCATCTTTCAAACGCCCAATTAAACGAAAACCCCATCAACAATCTGAGGTTTCTTAAGAAAAAGATAAAAATCCAATCGATATCTTAAATTAACACATATAAATTTCCATTTAATATAAGCAATCCACCGGAATTAATCGAACAGCCACCGGAAATTACGAGTCAAAGAGTATAAAAAAGGGAAAACCTAAAATTTCTTCAATCGACGCACACGAGACCTAGAAAAGGAAAAATCCCTAAATAAAACCCGTAAAACATACCTAGTTGATACGATGGTCGGAGATTATTCGTATTCTTTTTTTCTAGGTCGGCGTCTAACGATGAGAAAGAGAAGCCAGGAATTTCGCAGACGATGACAAGTTCTATTATTTGAGAGATAAATAAGATCGAATTAAAAAAGTCAGAAAAGATTATTGATAAATTATTTATATAGGAAAAGTGTTTTTTTACTTTACCCTAAGAAAATAATTGAAGTGTTTATTTAATTAAATTTTTTAATAAAATTTAACATTAATTTAATTAAAAAATAATTTTATAACAATAATAATAATAATACATTAAAACCCAAATTAAGGGTTGGGATTTTGGTCTGATTATGAGGAATGGGTTATCAATTTTAATGCATTTAAAACATTGCAAAGAGTTAGAGTTGGATTTGGAATTTGAAGTTGGATTCTAATTTGATTGAATTTTTTTTAAATTTGAATTAAAATAAATATATTATTTGACTTTCATATTCAATTTTAAGCTTAATTATATGTACTTGTGTACTAGCTCTTGAGCTAACCAACTACTCTAATCTATTATTTATTTAATTAAATTATTAAATTATATTTAGAAGGTTTAAGATAACAACTCGGTGTATTCTAATCATTTTTCTCTTTTTCTCTCTCTTCATTTTTCTTTTCTTCTTTATTATGTGTGTTAATTTTATTGATCAATCTAATTTTTTTTTAATTTTGTTTAACCGATATGACACTAATTTTGATGATGGTTATCGTCTTCCAGTTATCTTCTTTCTTTATTTTTTTATTTTTTTAATAAAAATAATTATGTATTTGTGATATATTTTATGTGTTTGTGGCACGTTTTTCTGTCTTTTGGTAGTTTACGGTTTTTTGTTTTTTTCGCTCATCTTTTTTTCTCAGGGTTGGATTTGATATCGCCACGACTGATCAAGATGACACTTATATGTTATCATGTTGATATTCCCTTCTTTGGACCATCGGATTGATTTAGATATGCGTTTTGCGTTCGTGGGTAGTTTTATCATATCGCTCGACTCTTGCAATTTGTCTTTCAGATGCTGCAAATCTCTTCGCCACCTTTTCTTTTTCTGGCTCTCCCTTTTCAGTCTTTGCAAGAAGCTGATCTTAGAGTCATCAGTTGAGAAGCAAGAGTTACCAATTTGTGGACTCGATCGATCTGAGTCAGGTTAGGATCGGAAAAGTGCCCATGTTTGCTAGGAAAATCCGGAATATAATTGCTTGCAAAGGAAGGAACAGGCACGAAAGGCATGAGAGTTCCGAGATGCAGAAGTAATTGATGGAACAAGGTGGGCTCAAGTGCATGGACATCAGTGGGAGGGCAATACAATCGTTTGTAGGGTAAGCAGCCTTCATTCTTTCCTTCATTTGTTGCAGATATATAGGTAATTTCATTACAGGATTGATTAATTTGATGTTTATTCCTTTGATTCTAACATGCATGCAACTTAAAATTCTCTATAGCAGGCATTTCAGTGGTTGAAAGATTTATCAGGATTCGAATTATGAACGACGGGCCGACCAAGCTCAGGTTGATCTATGATACTATATCATTTATATTTGTTCAAGTCCGACCCAATTCAAAATATAAGACTCAAATCTTACTGAAATCCACCCATTTATAAACAATTACCAAAATCTTAAAACAGTGAGAACAAAATCAACATTTTTCATTTCACTCATTGAATGGTAGCACAATGCCTAGAGGAGGATGGTATGCCAGTCAAAATCTCGTCTCGACACTACCTATAGAGGGCATGCCTTAACCATTCAAGATGTAGGACTACACAAATACAGCTCTAGAGCCATAAAAAAAACTGTGGAATCATTAACTTTATTGCTCATTGTTGTTGGGTCTACGATAGGGCATGAATCTATGATCTTTAGCAGCATTCTTCCTTCTCTTTTTCTCAATGAAGGATTCAAGTTTTCCGGATGCCTGATAATATATCATCAATATACTTAATTAGTTGAGAGCTTGATGTCATAGGGAACATGTTTAGATTACAAGATATGGCAAATAAGTACCTTGAGCTTTTTATACTTCTCCACAAGCCTTTGCTTACGAATTTCAGCTGCAAAGAAGTGATCCAAGTTAGCATCCGTCAAAATGGATTCATAGGCATAATCAACATCATGCAACATCATGTGAAAGGTGAAAAAACTAACATAATAACAGTTTGCACAGCTTCCTATATTATAGTTATAGATACTAACATACGATTTCTTTCTTGATAAGAAAATCTAAAGCAAGGAGAGGATTCGTGACATTACATTTCTTAAGATAGAAAGGGCGCTTCCCATGCTTCACTGCTTCTTTTTCTTTCTTCTTGTGTGCAGCCAGAATCTCAGCATCAGTATTCTTTGCTGACTCGAACTTTAATTGCTTGTCCTGATATGTAATACAATGTCAATAAGTTGATCGGGAGGTGCTTTGATGTATCCAGATTCCACAGGCCACATAAAAGACCCTGGTTTAAAAACATGATGTAGACTAAGTAGTTTCGATTGAATAGATATATACTTACAATCCAGGAAATATGGTTCTTCAGTTCACAATGACTTTTGGGTCTTTGGTTTTTTTAAGTTGCGTCTGCATCTCCTGTCATAGCGGGATATGCATCGTTGGAAAATGACAGTATAAACCCAAAAAGAGATCAAATAGATAAGAATACCTCTCTTTCAGCCGGTAGGTTGTTCTCAAACAGAAAATTGTATCTTTTTCTGAATCTGAAAAATAAAAAATCATCATCATCAGCTGCAGGCTAAGGAAAAACCAATATGTCAACAACAGACATAATACGGAAAGTAGAAAGTCACAACCATCGACTTTGACGCAATCTCAAGTCTCAACCATCAAACGCTACCTCAATCAAGAGGTAGATAAATAACAAATCATTACTTATTGAACAATTATGGGCAATATGAGATACAGTCACATGGTAAACTAGACTACTATCAAAGTAGAGCTCCATAGACTGGTAATCATTAAATTTCAGTGAAATATTTGTGGTGGATTTAGTAAAATAATGTATGGAGCTCAACCAACCAATCAAAAAGTTGTCCTTTAAGATCATGAGTTAGATTACTAGTGACTAATCCATGAAAAACTCACCATCGCACTTGTTTGTAAAAGATACGCACAGGAAGAACAAAACATGAAAAGAAACAAATGACATCAATGTAAACGATTGAATTATAAAGAGAGAAGAGACTAACCCGTCGACATCAAGTTTACCACATAAGGATTCAAAACGGGGGTCTCGTGCCACCTGAACGTAAAGAAGCAAACACATTAAATTCACCTTTGAGTGTTCTTTATCCATTTTATTTCTGAAAACAAGAACCAGTAAGCAATATTCATTCCCCCCAAAAAAGGGGGAACCGAGTTATTGTGATTTTCCATCAGAACCAATGCAACAATAACTGGGATCTTGTTCATATAAATTAGCAAAAAGGCATTTAGGTAAGAAATTTGAAAGAAAATATTATTTATCACACTAAACAAGCTATATAACTCTAGGGAAGGATTATGATTGTCACTTACAAGCAAACCATGTTAACATCAATTATAAGCACAAAAGCCGGAAACAGAAAGAATCCATGACCATAAATCACAAGACCAACTTCAATAGTTCAAGGTAAAATTATAAGCTCAGATAACTGGGACACAATTAAGATCTTAAAAAGCTAGCCAACCCGGCACATAATTCCAATGAACATCAATTTAGGCAAGCAAAACTACAATTATACTATTCAACATGTTAATTCTTATTACATTCAAAACAAAAGCCAAATTTTAAAGAAATAAGATTTACCTTTTTAGGAGCTTGAATAACCTGTCTAAATGACCTCAATGGTTTCTTGCTACTGAGTTCCATTGGCCTACATAAAACACAAATCAAAACCCGAAAACCAAGAACAAAAACAAAAATTGCCCTAAAAGAAAGCCAAAAATATCTCTAAAATTGTAAATAAGATACCTATTCTTGTTAGCGCGGCGGTGCTTGGTATCTGAATGGGGTTTGCGAGAGACTGAATCGGAACCATCGGCTCGTGCCTTTTGCAGCTCTTCGAATGTAACTTCTGCTAACTCACGTTCTATCTCTTCCTCCTACAACTCTCTCGCAACAGAAGCAAAATTAATATAGCCAATTGAAAATCCGGAGAACAAGATTTTAAGCTATGGTAAAATATACCCACTTCTTCAGAATCAATGGAGTCGTCAGATTTCTCTTCTTCGGATGAAGATTCCATCTCTTCTTCACTTTCTTCGAAGTGGGTTTTGCTTGAAGTTGCAACTGATTTAAAGGGTTTCTTCATTTTCCTCAATCTGAAAGCTCAAAAGAGTTTGAAGTTTAAATCCAATACAGAGAGCTAAATAGAAAGCGCGACAAAGAAACAGCGAAATTGATAAAGAAGCAGCTACTGTCCCAACCTTATCAAACTAGAGGTCCTCGTGGGGTTCCCCCCCCCCCTTCTCTTACAAATAGGGCAAACAGGTAAATTATGAAAATATGATAAAAAGAATTTATTTTAACATACTATATTTTTTATAATATTTATAAAATTTGTTACCTCAACGAAATATTTATAAAACTCATCATCTTAACGTGATGGGTTTCAATAAAAAAATATTTTTATTCGAACTCTCCGCATTAAGTGATGAGTTATAATAGAATATAATTTTTTATTAAATTTTTGCGATTTTAGGTTGGTTGTAATTTAAAATAATATATTATTTTTATATATATTTTGTTGAATCTAGAATGTTACTTTCTTCATAACATTTTTGTTGGTAATCGAAAATATTATATTTTTCTATAATATTTTTACATTCAATCGAAAATGTTAGAAAAAAAATGTAACATTTTAATTGTGCTAACATAAATCATTATGTTTTTATCACATTTTCTATTACGCCTATTTACGTTATTTTTAACCTTAAATTAGGTTTTCGTACCGTGAAATTATTAGGTTAAAATAGGATAAAGTATACATACAAAAAAATTATTAGGTGAAATAAGAATTTAATTAAAAATTAAAATTAAAATAATATTTTTATAAATTATTTCTAAATATATAAAATTTAATTATAATGTTACGGAGTTAAACTGAATTAAATCTTTTCATTTTAGAATCAAATTTGATCCTTCTTGACTCTACCTTTAAAAAAATCCTATAAATTTAAATTTTTTAAAATAAAAAAAAGTAATTCGATCGAATCAAATTAAGTAAGGAATAAATGAGTAAATGGCCCTCCCTAATTGAATAGTCCCTTCACCTCTTTCAACATCCACCAACGTGGCCAAATTCTCTTTGGGATACACATTCCCGTATCCATTTCCCGCCACAAACATCACTCCTCCTTGCACGACGTTCTCCACGTCAGGTTATGCCCGGAATGCACCAAAGACGGTGTCACCGTCACGCTCGATTGTGTCTCCGACGACCAGTACTGCTTTCCTCCCGATGTTGTGTAATTGTTTAGTAGGTAAATTACGTGTTTAGCATTTAATTATCAATTTTGATTTGTTTTAATATCTTAATTTTTAAAAAAAAAATATATTTAATGTTTAGTTTTTATTTCATTTTAATACTCTCGTTTAAAATTTAACGTTAATTTTTGAAAAAAAAATGTAAGTACTAAAACGAACCAAAACTGATAGTTTAGGTATTAAATATATAGTTCACCTTAGTTTATTTCAAATCTATAAGTTTCTTTTACATAAGGCCATATATATCGAACTTTAAATAAAATAAAATATTTAATTATTTATTTACAATTTTTAAAAATAATTAAGTAAAAACTTTTTAATTTCAATTATTTTCCTTATAGAACGTGATTATGATTACAAGTAACTAAGCATCTTAGGTGACTTAAAATATCGGCATAAAATTCACTTTTTTAATCTCTTGTTGATTTCTTCCATATCTCCTCAAGTTCCCTAGCAAATGCCTTTTGTCGACCGACGACAATCGTAATATGATCTTTGTTTTCGACAACCTTAACCCGAGCACGAGGGATTCTCTTCTGAACACTATAGCTACATTCGAGCGGGATAACCTTGTCGTCCTTCCCGTGGAACACGTTAACATCGCAACTTAGCCGGTCACGGACCACGTCCAAGTATCGGTCGAGCTTGCCGGCGGTGCCGAAAATAACGTTGTGGAGTGTGTGCCAGGAGGCGATATGGGTGTGTCGGATGAACCCTTCGAGCAAGTAGCCCTTCATCCTGCCAAAACCAACAGCAGCATTAATGAACGGTTGTAATAAGAATTGCATTAAAAGTTGAGGGACTTGGTAGATGATAATTCAGTGACATACATTAATGAATTCTGATGTGTTAGAAATGAAGGTTGCAGTCACCCTAATAAATGAAATGCACCAAATTCGTTTCTGTTTCCATCAATTGTGACTTCTCCTCGAACAAAATTTTATTTATAAGTTATTCGAGATTAATTATAATATTCTAAATTTGATTTTATAATTTGATTTTTATCCTAAATTTAAAAAATCAATTTCAATCAAATTCTAACAAATTTTGAGTCAAAGTCGATTTTTAGGGTAAATTACGCATATAGTATATAAATTAATAGTTTTGATATGTTTTAGTACTTAAACTTTCAAAAAAATCAAAACAATACTTAAAGTTTAGTTTTTATTTAATTTTAATACCCCACCGTAAAAAAACTTTATGTTTTGTTTCATTTTAGTACACCGTTTAAAATTTAACGTTAAACTTTGAAAAAATTAAAAGTTTAGACACTAAAAAAGATCAAAACTAATGGTTTAGGTACTAAACGGGTTAAGTTTTTAACGGAGAGATACTAAAATGAAATAAAAACTAAATGTTAGATATAGTTTTGAAAAAATTAAAAATTTAAGTACTAAAACGGATCAAAACTGATAGTTTATATACCATATGTGTTGTTTACCCATTTTTTATTATTCGGACAAGTAAGATCGGGACCATTTTGAACAGTTCCCAAAGTAAAGTACAAGGCTGAAAATGGACTAATCTTCCAAATTTCCTTGGACGGTGAGATTTAGTTTTTAATAAATACACCCTCCACTTGTAGGGCAGCTGTGCTGGGATAAATGTGGTAGGTAGAGTGAAATTTATGAGTGATCATAGTATGGTTGGTAGTGTGACTGAAGTAAGAAAAAAAATTAAATATTAAAATTTGAATCATAGATATATTACACGTTATTTTAAAAAATAATTATACGATGTTAATCGAATAAATCCGATATCTGTGACGATCATGGACCTAACTGTTTTAGACAAACTAATGTTTAAAGGTACCCTTAGACACAATATTTCGCAAATTTACTAAGATTTGGTTGATGGGTATAGTTGACATAAATATATGTGGGACTTGTGACATGTTTCGATGGTACGAGATGTTTGAAATTAGAGTAAGATGGAATGATAGAATTACCTGTTTTTAGTGATCAGTTTAAAGAGAAAATCCCATAATCGATGATTCTTGCATAAAATCAATGAAACCGTCCGGGCAATGTGCTCGTACCGTCCTCCGATAGAAGCCCAAAACGCCATCGGCGGCCACACTTGTTGTGGCGCTATTCGTCGCATAACATATTGAGCAGTCGATTCGCCTTTCGGCGCTTGATAATACGGCTGCCATTGCACATTCATAGATTTTAAACGGGCTGCCAACGGTAAAACATAATGAATGAACAAAGGAATTTAGTTTACCGGTGCAAGCAAGGTGAGGGACTTGACGGATCCCGGGTGCTTAACCGCGATGGCGAGGGCTAAAATGCAGCCTAACGAATGTGCCACGATGTGGAAAGATTCGACTTTGTAAGCTTCGAGTACGGATTTTTCGATCATTTCGACGTGTTCTCGTAAGGTGTAAAGCGAATCGTTAGGCTTCGGGCTTCGAGCAAAACCGAGTAAATCGACCGCTAAGAACCGGTAGGTCGATTTAGCTTTGCTCGAAAAATTCGGGAACAAAGTTTCGGTCCAAAACGCAGATGATGAAACGAATCCGTGGATGAATAACACATCTTCCCTTGCTTTATCTGATATCACAATAATCAAAGTTAATTTGATTGGACAAAAGGATGACAGGTCGAGAACTCCTGTTAACTTTTCGACAAAGTCGAGAGACCTGAATAAATCTGAATACCTTTCGGGCTCTCGGCTTTAACAAAAAGTGTGTCTTTGGTGGAAGAGGTCCAAGCATTGCAGAAATGGCAGTCACAATCGGACCATCGAGTAATGGGATACAAATGCTGCCCGATCATCCTTCCCCGAAGCATTTTAACAATGGTGGAGTTCACGGCTATCGTCGATCTCACCGTTCCTTTCTTGATCTTGTCGTTTGGTTGTAGGATCTCGGCATCGAGCTTGAGCTTGTTAACGGCGAGCTTCGAGACTTCGGCGACGAACGAAGGACGTGAATAAAGGGTGTCGGAGATTTCCTCAAACTGCAACTTGCTCGAACTGAGACAAACAACCTCGGACTCTTCCTCCCCTTGCTCCGAGACAATGATCTTGCCTCCACCGCCATTGATGGCTTCCTCAGAGAAAGAACCAGGCTTCCTCCATTCAGATTCAATGAAGAAATCAAGGAGTTTGTAAACAAAACCTAGAACGAAATCAACAAGGTCGATGAAACAGAACACAACGAAGCTAACTGCTACATTCAAAACCCCTCCTATTAACGTTAAACCATCTCTGGTTTTACACATTACAGACAACCCCATTGGAGATATCAAAGAGACAATGTGGAAGGCAAAGATTTGGTTACCCCCCCTAGAGACATAAACTATTATCTTGTCCCTCTTTATATAATTTATGTATGAAAATGAATTGAGGCTGTGATTAGTTCACCATGGTCGACATTTTTTTGACCTTAAAACCCAGAAACGGAAGAACGTGAAACAGGGAGAGAGAGAAAGAGGGGGAGTAAGAGCAAGCACAGGAACAGGTGTTGGAGCAATGAATTCATAGTTTGATTTAAACAGGATTTGTAGGCCAAAGAATAAAAAAGGTGGTTGGTAGTTGAACCTCCAGCATGAAGGAACACATTACAAATTCTTCTCACCTATTGTCAATATTCTGTGCCTAAACTTAAGCTATCTATCGTCCCATACCTTATCGTTGAGGTTGAAGGCTATTTTTTTTCTTTTAGTTGCGACAAATTTTGGAATTATTGCCGCGCAAAACTCGATTCGACAAAAAAAACAGATTTTTTTCAACTCAACTTGGCTTGAAAAAACTCGATTCAAATTGACTTTGAGTTGTAATTTCATAAACTTGACTTAGCTCGAAAACATTTCAAGTTTAAATTGAGTTGTAAAATGCAATTTGAATAACTCAAAATTTTTAGTAATTAGTAGATTGATTTTCAAGTTTAAGTCGACTTTGTATGGTATATGTAAATTACATATGAAAAAATACAAAAAATATATACATGTATTGTAAATGGTTATAAAATACCATTTAAATATAAATCAAACAATGTCATATTATTGTAAATATTTACAATCAAATTTAAATAGAAACTCGAAAATTTGACTCAAATGTTAACCCTAATTATTGATATTAATCAAGGGCAGTAACAGTGCGTTGCGAGCAAAGAAAATAGAAGGAAATGGAGCTATTATATCTGCAATGTAACTATCAATTTTAAGAGTTTGATCGAATTAGATGAAATATTAATGTAAGTTCGAACAGAGTTAAAATTATTTTTTATTAATATAGGGTAAATACGAGGTAATATATGTTTAAATATAACTCTAACTAATTTGATATTGTAAACTCACACCTGTAACATTCTTGATACTCGAACTCGGGACATCAAAAAAGAACAACTATCCCTTACAGTCGAGATCACTTGGTTCGTGCCAGAGTTAAAATTAATTGGTTAATTATGATAAATTGATTTGGTTTTTCACATATACGGATATACCAGATGCGTCATCGATATAATATTAATTGAATTTGCCTGCTTTCATTAATTACATACACCGTGTGAAAATCATGAAGTAGTTGATAAATCACTAATGAAGATGGTTCCTATAATACTAAGGTTTTAAATCGATAGCTATGTGTTGACCTGCTTTAGGTTTAATTTAGAATCAAGAGCTTAGGATTTAGAATTTATAATTTAAAGTTTTTTTTATTAAGCTAAAATAATTACAAAATAATATTTATTTTAAATACTCTCAATTATTTGATAATGAACGCTTAATCACCCATGTTGTAATCGTTGGTGCTCCTAGAACCAGCGGCGGAACTTGACGAAATAGTTTGGGGACCAACTTAAAACTTAAAAATTTTAAAGGTTTAAATTGAAATTTTTAAAAAATGTGAAGGGTTTAGTTATATTTTTTTCTAAAAAATTAATGTCTAACTAACTTTTTTGAAAATTTGAGACTTAATGAGAATTTTAAAATATTATGGGAGGAGGTTTAATTAAGAAGATTAAAAAATTTTAAAGTTTAATATGAATTTCTAAAATTTTTGGGGGCCAAATTGATTTTTTTAAAAATTAGGGTCTAAAATATAATTTTTTTAATTTTTGGAGGGTCATAGCCCCCACTAATTCTTTTATTTCTCTAAATATAACAATTATTCTTTTAATCAATAATGTGGTTTGTACATTTAATGTTAAATTTCAAGTTTGAGAATTAAGAATTAAAGGTAGGATTTATAATTTAGGATTAGGGTTAGGTATAAAATTTAAGAAGTAAAGGTTTCAGTCTAGAATTTAGGGTTAGATTAAGAATTTGGTAAAAACATCTGTCAATTCTATTTATCATACGATTTATATGAATTTAGTCCACATATTAACGGAAAATTAAATTAAAATATTTTTATAAAATTAATTTTTGTTGTTTAAAAACTTTAAATTTCAAATCTGCGAAAACTCTAGCCGTTTTTTTCCTTTTTTTTATAATTTATGTCAATTTTATTGATTAATCTCATTTTTTTTCTTTAATTTTGTTTAACCGACGATGACACCGATTTTGATGTTAGTTGTCATCCGTCAGTTATCATTTTTTTGTTTTTTAAATTTTTAATAAGATAATTATGTCTTTGTGACATGCTTTATGCTTTTATGACACATTTATCTATGTCTTTATGACACATTTTTCTCTGTCATTTGGTAGCTTATAATTTTTTACTGTTGTTTTCGTTTTTTTTCTTCACAAGGTTGGATTTGACATCGCCATGACTGATCAAGATGACGCTTATTTGTTATCATGTTGATATTCTCTGCTTTGGACATTCAGATTGATTTGGATAAGCGTTTTGCGCTCGTGAATAGTTTTCTCATGTCGCTTGACTATTATTTGCGATTTGTCGGTAGTCTTTCAGTAGTTTCATTTCCTTTTATGGTTCGTTTGCCGATGCATTTAGATTTGTTCGTATCGTTATTTTATTCAATCATTGGTTTGGTTTTTTGACCTTTTCTTTTTATGGTCTTTGTGTGATTTAGATGGCTAGCTGTTGTGTTAATGGTTATAGAAAAAATGTTCTAATTATAATTTAATTTACATTTATAGTTCTGCACAAATCTTCATTGTAATTCTGAATATTTTTTATTTTTAATAAAATTAGTGGCTTTTTATAAAGAAAAAAAATGCAAATTGCTACTACTTGTAATATTAAATATGTTCTTTATTATTTTTTAAAAGTTAAATTTTTTAAATTTTGACCATTATTATATTAAATATTTTAAATAAATAAATTTTATAAAATTGATATTCCAAAACTATTTGATTAAAAGGTTTTTGAAATATATATTTATTTTATATTTTTATCAATAATAAATTTTAAATAATAATGAATGAAAGTTACAAAAATTAACCAAAAAGAAGTTAATAATAAACAGTTTAAGTGGGACGTTAGGTATTTAACAAAGAGAAAATAACCCCAGTGACCAAAAATGCCTTATAATATACGATTTTAACCAACTTTTTTTGGATTTGCCAAAATGACCAACTAAATCGTAATGCGATCGATAATTCGCAACGCGATCTCCGGTATCGCAAATTAGTTTCCAGATTCGCGACACATATTACCACGACCACGACCCGACCCGACCCGACCCGAGACTAGACGGACGGCGGCGGCGGCGGCGGCGGCGGCGGCGGCGGCGGCGTGCGAGAGTCCTCCTGGTTCTCTATCACTCAACAAGGAAGTGGGAAAGCCAAGCCTTAAATACCATTCCCAATACTATGTGGGATTGAGCATTACCAACACTTGTTCCCAATACTATGTGGGATTGAGCCTTAAATATTGATATTATTTGTGAATTATAGTTAATGACTTTAGTATTTGTATGAAAAGTATTTGTGGTTCGTTTAGTTTTCATGCAATTCAAATTTATTTTCAATTGATTGTAATTGCACGATAATAATTTTTTTTATTCTTGCGAGTGATGCAATTTTTTTGAATGTTTTGCTTAAAATTGCAATAATCGCGATTGATTGTAGATTGACTTTTAATCATGACATATTTAATCGTATAATACTAATGCAGTTGGTTGTTGATTCAGTTGTTTTAAGGTGCATGATTGTTAATTGTTTCATGAATAATCACATAGTATTGAAAACAAGTGTTGGTAATGCTCAATCCCACATAGTATTGGAAACACTATTGGGAATGATATTTAAGGCTTGGCTTTCCCACTTTCTTGTTGAGTGATAGAGAACAAGGGAGACTATCGCGCGCCGCCGTCAGTCCCGTCTCGTGGTCGTGGTAATACGTGTCTTCGATACGTCCGCGCGAATACTATCTTTTTAGAGAAAATTCTTAAGAAACAAATGCAATACCACCAGTCGTTGCGATTTTGGACTATCGCAACGAATTTGGAATAAATATTAAGTTTCTAAATTTTTGTACTTAATTAAATTCTCAAATCGATAAATTAAATCGATTGAATCTTTAAATTTAAAAATTAAATTAATTAAGCAATTTGATCAATTTTAGTCATTAAATTTTAATAGTTTTTTTTCTAAGATATTAATATCACATGACGCACTGTATCACGTGAAATTTAACAAATCTTAAAAAAATATTCTGAACAAATATTAAAATTTTAATATAATTCATAAAAATCCTAAAATTTTATTAAATTAATGGGTTAACTGCATGGATGGTAACTTATCTTTGTGTTTTATCCACCTTTGGTCACTGGTTTTGAAAAACACAAGATGTAGTCAATTTTGTTTTTATTTAATTAAGATATGGTCACTTTAGTTTTTATTTAATTAAGATATGGTCAATTTCATTTTTATTTAATTAAGATGTGCTTACCCCGGGTTAACTTTCGTAAACAACAGTTAAATATTCTCTCAATTTAGTCATACTTTTAATAAATTAAAATAAATTTAATCCTCCAATCGAACTATGCCACATGTCATGCCAGTAAGATTGTTCAAAAATATTCGACCTAATTGAGCTGACCCGTCGACCTACTGACCCAGTTAAAAATTATCGGGTATTAATAATAAAAATACTCAATTTTTTGGGTCGGGTACCAGATCGAGTTTCTGGGTCGAGCATGGGTAAATTAATCCCCGGGTTAACTTTCGTAAACAACAGTTAAATATTCTCTCAATTTAGTCATACTTTTAATAAATTAAAATAAATTTAATCCTCCAATCGAACTATGCCACATGTCATGCCAGTAAGATTGTTCAAAAATATTCGACCTAATTGAGCTGACCCGTCGACCTACTGACCCAGTTAAAAATTATCGGGTATTAATAATAAAAATACTCAATTTTTTGGGTCGGGTACCAGATCGAGTTTCTGGGTCGAGCATGGGTAACAAAATATTCGTTAACCGGGTATCCTCCAACCCGGTACCCGATTTATTATATATATATATTTTTTATTTTATATTAAATTTTTATTCATAATCCTCACATTATTTCACTCTAACATTCTAAAATCCTAATTTCTTAAATTTTGACACCATAATGTTCTAAATTCTTAATTTCTTAAATTATTTCACATTAACGTTCTAAATTATTTTTTAAAATATTTATTTTAACTTCAAAAAATTTGAAATTTAATTATATTATTTTATTTAAATTTTAATAAATTTAATTTCAATTATGTAATTTGAATTTTTAAACTTTATGTGTGGATTATATATATTATAGAATTTTAAATTTTAAATTTTAGAATTTTTTATATAACTTTTTTAAAAAATAATATAATTTAAAGACAAAATAAAAAATATATATGAACCAGGTATCTGTGACCCGAATTATATATAGTATAATTATATATATATTAACTTAAAGTATCTTTATATTATCTTATTAAATATATTTTAATACTAAATTGATTAAAAAATATTTTATTTTTATTTTCATTTAAAAATATATAATTTATTTTAATTTATTAAAAGTATGACTAAATTGAGAGAATATATAAATAACAATGACCAGATGTGTGAATATATAAAAACATTTAAATGATGTTAACGACAGTTAGCTCGGGGTGACGAAATCTTATTTAAATAAAAATGTAAGTGACCATATATATGTATTTTGAAATCAATGACAAAAAATGAACAAAACTCAAAGATAAGTTATCAACCGTGTAGTTAACCCTAAATTAATAAATGTTAATACTTCACACCACCATGTTATGATCTGTGGACTGTGATACCAATTAATTTTAAAACTAATAAAATTTGAATTAATAAAAATTTAAAATATAAAAAATGAAGAATAAAAAAATAAAAAAATTTAATCAACATTTTCTAGAATTCGGAGACTTTTGGTCCTTTTTGCACTCTTTGGAACCCGTCAAGCTTCAACAAAGTACATACCAATGTTTTTATATAAATACATAGGCTAAATTCTTCACAAATGTATATCACTTTCGATAATTATATTTAAATTCGAAATAAATTGTAGCGGATGTAGGTATTACACCTCTTCTGATTTGAATGAAGAATCACAACTAGTAAGAAATCGATCATTAACGTGTGTTAACAAACTTTATCTCCATGAAGATGCATAGAAAAATAAGAGAGATAGTTTCATGGAGATCTCATATTGTCACTAGATAGTGTTTGAGACGTTTTATAACTATCTTCAGTATGCTTGACAATCGTAGAATTATAATAGTTATTTATAAATTGGGACGCTAGATAGATACTATTAGAAGACGGTGAATTTAGTTCTGATAAATTACGTGAGTCTACTAAAAATTATATCAAGTAGTTGTGACTTCTTAAGTGATGTTAAATACATGAGACCTTTCTTTCGAAAAGATTCTCTTCATGTCTCCCGAAGTGCCGAGGTGTCAGAGGTTCAAAGAATGTTAAGATTCTTCCATGGATATGAGATACGATGCTATACAAAGGACCTTTAACAAAAGTATAGCAATTTTAATTCATAATAATTTTAATTATCTAATTTTTTATAAAATTAAATTCAACTCAAACTCAAACTCAAAATCAAATAGAATTATATAAATCCCTAATTATAAACGCAATTTAAATTCAGAATTTGAACTTAAAATATATAGGTTTGTTAAGGGCAGGGACAGAGTTAGGATTTTAACTTGAGGGGGACAAAATATAAATTTTTTAAATTTAGGGAGTAATTTCATAATTATCTCACAAATATTTAGATTTTATATATAAATTAAAGGTAAAAAAAATTGGTTGGGTGGAGGGGCCCCTCCCAAGCCCTTAGTGGCTCCGTCTCTGGTTAAGACAATCTAATTTAATATTAAGGAAATGCGTAACTTAAAATGTTAAATTTTTATTAATATTTTTTTGATTGAACCGAAAATATTAGAAAAATTAAAAGATAATATTTTATATATACTAAAAAAATATTATATATTTTATAACATTTCCGATTATGTATAATATAATATGTGATATTCTTTAATCTTAAATTAGAGTCTTTATACTCTTATTTTAGATAGCATGCAATAAACTCAAAGTCAAACTATTGAGTCTTTTTCCACGAAAGAGAGAAAAATAAGCACAACTCCCAAACCCTACTCATTGCTCGTCGTCGTCGATAATCGATTTCCACAACTGACTCATTCAATCGTGTGATCATCGTCGTTTCTCTCAAAGAGCTTCCCTCTCACTGGAAGCCACCTTTCATCTCTCTTTTTTCTTAAATTTCAGCTGCCGTTGACTTACGGTAATGAGAGACACACAAGAGTCTCACTGGTCGAGACTGTTGTTCCATAATAAATTTTGCCTTCCCAATGAATCTGAAGGCCGGTTCTCTTTAATTTCAATGGTGGAAGGGTGAAACAGTCAAATAATGGTAGGCAAAAAGGTTGACCTTTTTGTTAATGAAGTTGAGATGCCAATGAGCTGTTGAGATCATGGATTCTGCCGGATATCGATATTGCGGTGGCATCTAAGATCACTATATCATGAAAAATAATAGTGTGAAGCGGAATCACACTAATAGCGATGAGTCTCGTATGCTATTTAATGAGTAGCGGTCAATCCTGACAATAACGGACCACTATTATGTTATTTTCATTTAAAAAAACAGTTTTTTTAAATCAACTCATTTAGGGGGGGGAATTCACGACGCAATATCCGTAATGACTGCAATAACATCCGTTATATCAGTAACAACAATAAATGGTAACGCGGTCGCAACCGCAATTTAAATCGTTTGTTGAGATGTAAGACATGGTTGGGGCTCACTTCAACCCTGTAGGCAGGTAGGGTTATAAACAAGCCAAGTTAAACTCGACTTGAAAACTCTAAAACGGAGTACGACTTGACTAAAAAACTCATGAGTTTAAATTTTTCAAACTCGACTCGAACTCAAATCATGAATTGAAGCTCGATAAAACTCGTCAAAGCTCAAAAGAAAATCTTGAACTTAACTCGGCCGAAGTTCAAACTCAAACTCAAACTTGACCTTATGTACATTAAAACTTTTACTATATTTAAAAAAAATAAACACATAAATATTAATATTACTGATAATCTAATTTTTTTTTAAAAAAAAATTTAATATACAATTTTTTTAATTACTCACGAGTTTTTGGAGTAGAGTATCAAATATCTCGTATCGGCTCGTTAAGAACTCAAGTCGAGTCATTTTGAATTGATTATTTATTGAATATAGACCAAATCGATCTCGAATATTTTATAATCTATCTCGTCTAATTTAAGGGCCTAAATCTAAATGCAGGGTATGTTCACCCTATCTGCAAAACAGACAAACATGGGTTCAATCGAAACTCTATAATGCTTCCAAGATTTGGAACATTATTAATAATCAATTATTTTGTACTTAATTAATAATGTATGAACTTTTTAAATTCCGATATCAACATCATAACTTAAAATTCCAAAGCTCCGGCCGGCCATTTCCCGATATGAACAAAGTAAGGATGACAAATCAAAACGCAGATGATTTTCTTTTTAAGATCTGAATTTTCTTTCACGTGAATGCCATAAGTTTTTTGCTTCCTCGTTTATCCCATGGCGATGATGCTCCTCTCCTTGTTGCTTTTTCTTTTGATCTCTCTTTTCGTTTCTTTCGGTTCTGCCGAGATCCGTTTAACGGAGATCCGATCCGATTTCCGATCCATTATCCCCTTTGACGAGTTCGGGTTCACTCACACCGGCGTCCTCAAGCTCAGCGCCCACCAGATCCATCTCTTGAACAGGAATTCAGTCCTCGACTTGGCCAAACTCGGGTTCTTCCTCACCACGCGTGACGCGTGGATACACGTGATTCAACAACTCGCCGACGGCGAAATCAGGTGCGCTCTAGAATCCGATCTCGTGAAGCTCGTCTATGACTTCAGGTCTCTCGAAGGGAACTCGAATTTCTACACCTTATTTCGGGTAAAAAATGCCGATCGGTACACGTTACTCTTTGCTAACTGTCTCGATCAAGTCAGTGTATCGATGACCGTCCAATCGAAGATGTTAAATCTCGACGGAAAGAATGACAGTCCGGATTATCTCTCCGCCGGCGATTCAATGCTGCCGATCGTTTATTCCCTGTCGTCCCTCGTTTACTTCACCCTCGCAGGGATTTGGATTCACATCATTTACAGAAGACGATTCACCGTTTCTCGAATCCATTTCTTCATGCTGGCCATGGTTATTTTAAAATCTCTCAATCTCATTTTCCAATCAGCGAATAAATCTCACATCGAAGTAACCGGAATGGCCGCTGATCTTTGGAATATTCCGATTCAAACACTCAGTTTCCTGAAAGGGATCATGTTTTTCACCTTGCTCGCTTCGATCGGCACCGGTTGGTCGCACCTAAAACCTTTCTTGCAACACAAGGTAAACAGGGTTTTAATGATTGTGATTCCACTCCAGGTTGTCGCCAATATCGTCCAAGTTTTAGCCGATGAGGCCCCACCTTTCAGCCCATATAAGGTCGCATGGAACACGACGATCATGCTCGTCGATGTCGTTTGCTATTGTACCGTGTTTTTACCGATCGTTTGGTGGATCAAGAACCTGCGCGAGGCGGCTCAGACGGATAATAAAGCTGCAGCGTACTTGATGAAGTTGACACAGTTAAGGCAGTATTACATTGTGGTGATCTGCTATGTTTACTTAACTCGTGTTGCGGTCATTGCTATGTCGACTTTTACTTCGTTTGAGTACTTATGGACCGGTGCGGTGGTCCGAGAGTTGGCCACCGTCGCATTCTATGTGTTTACTGCATATAAATTCATGCCGGAGTCGCAGAACCCGTATTACGTGATCGATGATGAAGAAAAAGATGTTGGTGCAGAGCAGTTGGAGGTTGAAGATGGTGAGGAAACAAATGGGGAATGCTTGCAATAATGGATAACTAATCAAACTTGTGATATCGAGGCGAAACCCAGATCCTTAAATAAATCGTTGTTAAGAAAGTTATAAGATAAAGTAATTTAATAAACTTTATTGTATCTTTATGAGCTTGATAGCTTGTGTGGGTAAATAAATGCTTAATACATATTTTAGTATCTAAATTATACCTTAAAATACGATTTAGTATTTAAAGAATTTTTTACTAACAATATGTATCTAATATTTTTAACGTTACACTTTTAAAAATCTGAACCATAACGACAATTAAATTTGACTGTTATTTGACACGTGTCATGCGTATAAAATTTCAAAAATTATTTTATTTAAAAAACTTCATATCATAATTAAAAAATAAGCCCCCCAAAATTTTACATCTTTCGTTACTGAGCGGTTGTTGTCGATATGTGACCGTCATCGTTGACACCAATAGAACTGTCTTGTCACCGCGACCAAAACTTAATCTATCACCTATCGTGAAACTGCGTTGATCGTCGTGAAGAACGCTGCGAAGGATCGACAGATCTCTAATTTTTTGTTACTATTTTTGGCGATTTCGACATGTACAACAGTATGTATGTTACACGACCGTCATCATTGAATTATTTGTCCTGCTCCGAAAAAAAACCTATCGATGGTGACCTTTCGCCATCGACGATGGGAGATGGGAGAGAGAGGGACGACACATGAGTGAGGAGTTTGATTTTTTAATTCTTTTTTTTAATTATATTATTAAAAAATAAAAAATATAAAGGTAGACACCTAAAACTGTAGCGGAGAAAATTGTAAGCACCTAAAAGTGTAATGAAAAAACTTTAGACACCTATTGTTAGCAGAAAATTCTTTAGACACCAAATCGTATTTTAAAGTATAGTTTAGACACTAAAAAGTATAATATAAACCTTAAATAAATATAGCTTTTGATTATCTCCTTGTTTATTTCTTACTATGAGAGTGTTTTTGTAACAACATGAGATAAATCAGGTTATTAGGGATAGAATCAAAATATTAATTCAAAAATAAATTATAATTAATAGAAAGTAAATAAAAATTATATATATATATATATATATATATATATATATATATAATGAAAGAATAATTTATTGATTGACTAGTTTATATTAGATATTGTAAAGATATGTCACATTGGATCGACTTATTATGAAACTAATCCTCCTAACTCAATTTTCATCTTTCACAATATCAATATTCAAACCTTTAGTATTTGCTTTAAGAGACCTAATGATATCAACAACCCATTGCGTAACACCCTAACCCGATTCGATCCGAAAGTCCATGGATTATGATACCACATGGAACAACCAAAATGATCAACCCGAAAATTTCATTTAAAACATTTAATAATAGAAAACCATTCATCATAATTTAAACGGAATCGAAATCAAGTTTACAAAATAAGGGAGTCTCCCAAAATACGTACAAATACAACTAGAAATTTTAGATTAAAATAGAATTATGACTCGATCATTCAAAGGTCCATATAAAATACACGCCCTTTAAAATAGACTCAAGACATACTCTGCAGATGCTGCTCTGGAATGTACAGATGCGATAGGCTCCTCGACGATCCCTCTACTAATCTGCGCACATAAACACATTCCATATGTTGAGCTCGCAAGCTCAGTGCTACAAAAATAAATGTGCAATAATACATGCATTCATTACATGAACATGCTGGTATGCAGAGTCAAAAACATGGAAAATTATATAACATACATGAGATAGGCCAAGTGGTGAGATTAGAGGAATTTAAATGCATCTCGGATAACACCCTGACCTACTTGAAGTGATAGGCTCGAGATAAGAACCGAAATTTACGTGCATCGAAACTTATAGCCCTTAATATATTTCGAACTCTTGAGAGGTCAGGGTGAGGACTGGAATTTACGTGCATCGGAAATTCACACCTTGAACCTAGTCGATAATAAGGTACGATTTTGGAATTTAAGTGCATCGAAATTCATATCGGTACGACCCAAAATTTACATGCATCAGATGCATACCATCAGACATTATCTGGATTATTTACAAACAAAAGACGATCGTCATAATGCTATAGTAACTCGGGCGTCCGAACTGTTTCCCAAGTGTCACACAAGGCAAAACTTATGATATCCTAAATTGCTTATTTTCTAGGTGAGAAATTAGTGATCTTAATTATTTTCACTTGTATTAAATACTTGCAGCTTACATGGACTCAAAACACCTCAGCCTAAACACTCAAACAATATAACCAAAATCGTCAAAAAAATCTCTGTGGGTATCGATACTCGCCTGAGTATCGATACTAAAATTTGCTTCAATGTTTTAAAAAATATTAGGGAGTATCGATACTCCCATGAGTATCGATACCAAAATAACCTTCGTTGTATTAAAAAATACCTCAGTATCGATATTGACCCTCTGAGTATCGATAATAGACCCCGAGTATTGATACTCCTTAAAGGGGCATCAATATTTCCCTTATAATATAATGGGTTTTAGCCTTTCATGAAGAACAATATCAATAATGTTCTTCTAGTGTCGATACTGACGGACGAGAATGCTTTGTTTTGAGCACGAAAACATACCAAAATCTCACCCATTCACACCTTTAAGACTAGCAAATGTTTTTAAAGTCTTATTTGAGGTCTTAGAGGTAAAAAGTTATCAACTTTCATGCTTACAAACAACATATATGAATCTTGTCGTGGAAATACTCTAGCATGCTCACATGAACCAAAACATACCAAAATACACACCGAATGACTTACATGCAATATAGTTAAGTTAGAAATGTGTTACTTTGTTGATATCTTGCTGAAAGCGTCCACAAAATCACCCAAGAGTGAGATTTTCCTTCCCCTTTCCTTAGAGCTCTCACCCTTCTCTTGAACTAATTAGGACAAAAGATTTGAGTTATTAACTTATTTTAAAGCTTAGAAAGGTGTTAAAAACGATCCTATAACCCATAACTTTCCCAAAAATGGATTGAACCCCAAGGTACTTTAAACCCCACTACAACTCGTTTTTGTGAAACTCACCCAAACCTTGCAAATAAGAGCTTAATTTGAAGCTTGGAAGATTAGGGTTGTAAATCTCACCTTGAAATTTCAAAAGGGTGCTGGAAACTCTTAAAGTTTCTTACTTTCACTTGGCTCTTGAAGGAGAAAGGTATAAGGAGTAGCAAGAATAGACAAAGTTGAGATGAAAAAGAGGTGAATGATAAGACGTGATATCACCAACAATTAAGAGTATTCAACCTTTCATTTGAAAAATAGGATAATTACCCACCTGGTCCTTCCACATTTGATGCATGATTAAAACCATCCCTTTATAAGCTACTTGGGCTCATCCCAAGCCCAATTCAAATCCACTTGGGTCCAAAGGTTCATAGGTTAAGGTAAAATCATTTAGAATCCCAAACGGATAAACCCAAAACTCCTAAACCATATTTCGGGACGTTACATATTGTCACTTATCAAAATTTTATTATTATTTTAGATGAATTTCGATAGAAAATTTAATTAAACATCGATTTATAATTTATTTATTGATTAATGTCGTTAGATACCACATAAACTCACTACATGAGTGACCATTCCGATCTATTTTACTTCATTCACAACATTAGAATTCGAACCGTCAATCTTGCGTTACAACTATTATTATATCAAGTCACACCACTATTTTGTTGAATATTTAATGACAAGTGATGTATTTGTAACAAAATTGAAAATTTTAATCGAGTGATTATATTCTAACTTTTAGAAAAATAATCTATTTATAATCAAACTAATAATTGAGTGACTTGTATTTTACCCTAATAAAGAAACTTGTATTTGATTTATGATCATGTATTAAAATTTATACATTTTATCAATTTGATCTTAGTTTGACATAATTAATTAGATTTAACCTTTCATATTTAAAAGTTATATTAATTTTGTCTTCATTCTTCTATATTATTTGTTATTCTCTTACAATTATTCAACTTCTACTTTGATCCAATGGACTTGCTTGGCTTGATAGTATTGTAAAAAAAACTAAATTGAATGATTTTTTAAATATAAAAAAATAAATTTATTGAGTTAATAAAAATTGGGGATAATTAATACTTATGTACTTAGTTCACTATAAATACTGTTATAAATCTAATATTCGGATTCCCCAACCGGCCGATATGAACAAGGTGAGGATGACAAATCAAAACGCAAATAATTCTCTTTTTAATCTCAGATCTGCGATGACGTGCCGATCCTCTTTGCTTTTCATTTCCATCTCTCTTGTTGTTTCTTTTGGTTTTGCTGAGATCCGATCCGATGAACGCCCTGCGATCCCCACCGACGAGTTCCGGTACACTCACGAGAACCGTCCGGACTATCTTTCGGCCGGCGAAACAAGTCTCCCCAGGGCTTACTTCCTTTCGTCCCTCTCTTATTTCACACTCGCATCGATTTGGATTTATGTGCTTTACAAAAGTATACTTACTCCATTTGTTCTAATCTTTGCTATTCTAAAAGGTTTCAGTCTCGTTTTCTAAGCAAAATATGCATCTTATATCAAACGGACCGGAGGCGCTCCCGGTACGGATATTTTGTATCATATTTCACATGGAGGCTAGTGACTTCGTTTGTTGATGGTATTTGTTACTGGACCGTGTTGTCACCGATTGCTCAGTCGATCGAGAAGTTGCGCAAGGCGGCTCAGACGGATGGGAACGCTGCGGTGAATTCGACCGAGTGGAGATTGGTAAGCCGGTATTGTATTGTGGTCTTCGTTTATATCTATTTAACTCGTGTTCTGGTTTTTGCTTTGGTGACGATTTCTTCTTATAAGCATCCTTGGACCACCGTTGTATGTTTAGGCCAAATTTTATGTACTTTAGAGCATGTTTGAAAGTATAATTTGACCATTAAATATATGGTATCAATATCAAAATATGAGGTATCCATACTATATGTTTATTGAAAAATTTGAATATATTTCTATTATCAATTTATTATTGTAGTATCAATACTAAATATCAAAGTATCAATACTTATTAAAATGATTTCATAACCCTAAATTAATATATATATATATATTCTATTTATTTATTTTTTATTTTTTTTATCTATAATCACGTCTAATCAAATAATATCTTTAGTAAAAAAATTATTTATCGATATAATTATAGATATATAATAAAAATTCTTGCTAGATAGTTTGATTTGGTAGTAAACTTATAAAATTCCAATTTCCAACCAAACATCACTCCAAAGCCAACCAAAGACTCAACCGGCCGATACGAGCAGAGCAAGCAAAATAAATCAAACCGGAGATTTATTTCTCTTTGTAGATCTGAAAATTTTCTCTCAGATCAACGCCGATTGAGTTTTATTCCCCAATTTCTCCCATGGCGCCGATCTGCCGCTCCTTTTTGCTTTTCATGTTGATCTCTCTGTTTGTTTCGTTCGGTTCTGCCGAGATCCGTTTCACGGAGTTTCGATCCGATGGCCGCCCCATAATCCCCCTGGATCAGTTCGGGTTCACTCACACCGGCCGCCTCGAGCTCAACCTCTCCCAAATCGGTCTCTCCAACAAGAATCCGGACCTGGACTTGGCCAAAGTCGGGTTCTTCCTCTCCACGCTCGACGCGTGGATGCACGTGCTTCAACAACTCGCCGACGGGGAAGTCACGTGTGCTCTCGAGTCCGATCTCGTCAAGCTCGTCTCCGACTTCAGGGCCGCCAAAGGGAATTCGAGATTCGACGTCGTTTTCCCGGTCAACAACGCCGACCAGTACACGCTGGTGTTCGCTAACTGCCTCAGTGATGTCAAAGTATCGATGACCGTCCGATCGGCGATGTACAATCTAGAGGGGAAGCAAAACAGCAGGGATTATCTCTCCGCCGGCAGGACAGTTCTCCCTAGGGTTTACTTCCTTTTGTCCCTCATTTATTTCTCTCTCGCTGGGATTTGGATCTATGTGCTTTACAAAAAACGACTCACTGTTTTTACAATCCATTTCTTTATGCTGGCCGTCGTTGTTCTAAAGGCTTTTAATCTGATTTTCGAAGCAGAGGATAAATCTTATATCAAACGAACCGGAAGTGCCCACGGGTGGGATGTTTTGTTTTACATCTTCAGTTTCTTGAAAGGGATCATGCTTTTTACTCTAATCGTTTTGATCGGCACCGGGTGGTCGTTCTTGAAACCCTTCTTGCAAGACAAGGAGAAGAAGGTTCTGATGATTGTGATTCCACTTCAGGTTGTTGCTAACATTGCCCAAGTTGTCATCGATGAGACCTCGCCATTTGGCCAAGATAGGGTCACATGGAAGCAGGTGTTCTTGCTTGTTGATGTCATTTGTTGTTGTGCTGTGTTGTTCCCGATTGTTTGGTCGATTAAGAACTTGCGCGAGGCCGCTCGGACGGATGGAAAAGCCGCTGTGAATCTGATGAAGCTGACCCTGTTTAGGCAGTATTACATTGTGGTCATCTGCTATATTTACTTCACTCGGGTTGTGGTTTATGCTTTGGAGACGATTACTTCGTATAAGTATTTTTGGACCAGTGTGTTGGCCGGGGAGTTGGCCACACTCGCCTTTTACGTGTTCACTGGGTATAAATTCAAGCCAGAGGCGCACAACCCCTATTTTGCGATCGATGATGAAGAGGAAGAGGCTGCTGCAGAGCAGTTGAAGCTTGAAGATGAGTTTGAATTGTAATACCAATCATCAAGATAAACAAATATGGATACTGATTGAAGAAGTGGATAACAAATCAAACTGGGACATTGAGGTAAAACCCATATTCTTAAAAATGGCATCATTGTTAGGAAGAAATTATGATACTTTGTACTTGTTTTGCATTTTTTTGGTTTACTTGGTAGGATAATGTTGAACTATGATGCACGTTTGTGAACTTGATAGTTTGTGTAACAAAAATAAACAAATCATGCTATACTTTTTGTTCAAATTCCTTGTTTATTCAATGGATCATAATGGGAGTATGTTGTAACATGATTTGGTGTATTTGTTTTCATGTTTGTGTAATTTTTAGGTTAAATAAAAGGTGGTACATCAATTATACTCGAATTCTCAAAGTAGAATATATGAATTACAACCGAAATTTTAAATTTAACAAATTAAAAATAGAATACAAATAGTATTATTGCATAAACAAATTAAAATGGCTACATAATCACTAATTTATCTCCAAGATTATATTTGGACTTGAGATGCTTTGCATGCTTTCTAGCTGCGAGCGCCTCGTGGGGTTCAACGTCGATGTTTTCATATGGCCCTCCTCTATTATATAAAGGATTAGGGTCAAGAATCATCTTCTCGAGGGCAATGGCATTCTCGATAAAGAAGATGCATAATTCAGTATCAAGAGTATTCCCAGCAAAACCAGTAATTTCCACCACCTTCAAGCTATTATGATGAACAATTCTTCTTTCTTAGTGCTGCTTCTATAATGACTTATCCACCTCAACTGCAACACCAGAAAAATTTATATACACATCCATTAATTGGCCTAATCAGAATCTTTCAAGAAGGGTTCAGCATTGTCCCAATTATAAGACCATATTGAAGTTCTTGCTTATTCATTACTACAAACATCCAAGAGATGTATGGTAAAAAAAACCTTCGACATTAGTTTAGCAGCGTTGTGTCTCTATACGTATATTCTATGCAAATCCATTGATTCAGCAAAAAGGAAGAATGCTTACATCCAAAGCGAGCCGATGCAAGGAAGGGCATGCACTCATCCACCAAAATAAGAAAAGAAGGCTATCCCATTCATATGCTTAAACACACAATTCCATCTGCTTCAGCCGACTCATTCGAGGGATCCTAGCGGCCTTCTCACCTCTCCCTGGATTCTCAACCCATGAGCTAGGATTTGTAAATTAACCACAAATACAACAAATTTAAAAGGCAATACAATGGATCTTTATTATCCCAACTGACCGCCACATGCATGAAGAGTTTAAGCTTCTGGACCTGAGGGGAAAATGTTAAAATCTGCGGCAACTTCCGAGCACGTGGGGGAAAGCGCAACTCCCCGAAACAAAATGTTGTTTGGAACATTCTCAAAGGGAATCTCTATTCGTTGTCCAGAATATTTGAAACTTACAAGGTTGATTGCATCGAGTTCTAGACTCCTCAATTTTGGACAGCCTGATATCTCCAAGCTTCTCAAGTGAAGTGATGGACCAGCAACTCTCACATGAACCAGAGTCGGTGAACATTGCACACATAAGCATTCAAGAAAAGCGCTATTGGATACAAAGTTGTTAATAACTTCATCACTTACATCTACGCATTTCAGCACAAGGCATGTAAGGGGAATACAACTCGGTAAACCAAGACTCACCGGTCTACTTGTAATTTGGGTCAGCCTTATAATCTGTTAGCGTATAATAATATATATATAATTTAATACTCAATATCCATTTAAAATAACATATTAACCCAAATTATATGTAAACTTAATTAAACATAATTAACTAAACGTATATAGTAATAATAAAAGCAACATTTAATCAGTAATAAAAATATACACACACGTACATGATAGTTGTTAACGAACCTTATGCAATATAAATGAAATTAAATACTATAGGCTGATTAATAATTATAAATAGTTATAATAGTATCATTAAACTAACGATCCGGACAAAATATAATGTCTACAGTGATATTTTTAACGAGGCTCATAACCTTCACGCTCATAACCGGGAAGGCTATAGCTTCTTAATTATCCAATAAAAAAAGTTATTTGCCGAGCAAAGGAAAAAAAAAAAAACCAGTAATTTCCATCACCTTCAGGCTATGCTATGATGAAGGCTTCTTCTACCTTTCTTAATACATATAGTCATATATACCTGGTGATCAATATCAATCAGACACATAAACAGTCATACGGATAACCTATTCTCGCTGTGCCATACTCGTCCTGCTGTTCGATTTTCGTCTCCCTTGACCGAAATTTTTCTTCCGAGAAGAAAGACAAGATAAATGAACATGATCCATGAGACCAGATGATGTTCTGTTCCCCAAATGTAATGATGAATACATAAACCATGACCTACACTCAATCAATTTGATCAATATATAAAACCCATTTTAAGCTAACCAAACCCATCAAACAAATCAATTCATCTTTTGTTATATCTCTAAACAAACATCTATCTCGGTGATTGAAACATTAGATGTTACGATTTGATTATCGATTTTATTGCTTATTCAATTCCTCTTTGTTTAAAGTACATATTTTTTTTTAATAAATTTGAATCACATTCTTCTCTATCACTATAAAATACTTGTCTAACTTCAATTTCTTTTTTTGATAATATTTTTTAATTTAATCTATTAATTTTGTGTCTTATTCAGTTTAGTCTTCGATAAATATCTTTTTGTAAATTCTTTCTTCTTGTCAAATTATTGATTCCTTTGTACTTTCATCCGTATTTTTTTTCCTTAAAAATTCTCTTCTTTATAAATACATTATATGATATTTGATTTATTATAATATGGTGAGATCCAGAAGTGAAAGGAGCGGCTGTGCGAGTCTGCTGTTGGGTTGAGTAATTCAACAATTATATATTATGAATAAATTGATCGTTACATCAAATTTCATAACGGTGTTGGATTAAATATATTAATAACTTAAAATTCTATGTATAAAATTATAATAAAAGATATATATATTACATCAAAATATCAAAGGTAAATTGCACGTTTAGTATCTAAACTATCAATTTTCGTCCTTAATAATACACTTTCAGTTTTTTCAAAATCATTCTTAAAATTAGTTTTTATTTCATTTTAAAAACTTTAGTTTTTGTTCCAGTTTAATACCCTCCGTTCAAAACTTCGTCTTCTACCCTGTGTTCTCTACTCATGCAGCTACTTTTCTCGTTACCCTTTAGCTTGTGGCCCGAAAACCCTTTTCACCATTTACAACCAATAGGTGTATGTGTACTTTCCCATGGTAAATTGCAAGAAAACAGATGCTGAACGCATGGAAGCAAAAGTGAAGGGGCTGGGATGATAATAATGAGAAGATGGTGATGTTTATTAGATGTTGTATATGTCATCTATATATATATATGTATCACTTTTATTTTGTATTAGTCATCTAATTATTTTCTAAGCACGAATCAAGCAATCTTAGTGATCAAACGATCTCAGTGATTAAAGGGTAATTGTTATCTCCATAGATCTAGGTTTGAACAAAACATATGGTACACATAGTACAGGAATTATCAGCAGAAATTGGCCTAAATAGTATCCAAACGCATGCACAAATATAAGACTTAAAAGATGGAATGAGCAGAGCATATGGTAATTAATCAGTCTCATGATCTTTAATTTACCAGAAAGTTTCAAATCCAGTCCAGATTAGTGAACATTCATAACATCGTTCGAAGTTCTCGAGGTTCCATCGAAATCTATGTACCGAAAGTAGCAAGGATGAACAAAAGATGGTTCATATGGTGATGAAGACGCCGAAGCACGGCAGCAGGGAACATCTTTACATGGGTGCGTATGTATTGGATATATGTAAACTCGGTACTAGAATCGGTTCGGAGCAAATGATTTAGTACGAGGGAAGGCGAGGAGCTCGTGGCCGAACTGGGGTCTTTGATGGGCTTACCCTGATCATATAGAACAAGAGAGGTCGTTTAAAACACAATGGATGTAGATACTTCTAGGGAGAGAAACTATGGCGAAAAAGAGAAACCCGAAAAAGAAATATGCATATCTTTTCGACAACCGATGAGAGAATCAGGAATCTGACCTTATAGGCAATGTTCCCAGAACCACACCACTACAGTTGAGAGCAGCAATCGCGCTTTCCGCCTGCATGTGAACACGAGAAGTAACTAAGTCTATTGTTGCATCCAAACTTTACACTCGGATTAAAACTCGGACAGCATCTCCGATAAGTCAATGTAGGTTAATAGCCAAAGAGAGAGAACTATCAAGAAATAATTCCCCAGCATTGTAATAAACACACATCATTTTGCTGATCAACGGTATCTTTTAGCATATTATGCAAGTTGCAGTATTCGGCATAAAACTACTCCGTTGTTCCGAAGAAAACACTGTCATCTAATGCAATACCGACTACACTGCAATGCAAATATTTCATGGATGAAGATGAAAAACAAAAACAGTTACCATTACAAACTCGACAAAGGCAATGCGAGTTGAATGCTGATAATCCCCCAGCAACCTCAGGCGATAAACCTATGCCGGACAAGATGTCCCTTTAAATGCATCCCCAAAATGTATAGAAGAAACAGAACTCGAGAGTCGATAGAATAACAAACCTCCCCACAGACTGTTTCGAAGAAGAGTTTAACATCAGCTTGAGTAACCTGCATCGTGTAGGATCGTTAAGGTTATCTGCAATTGGGATCATTATTCATAATCGAGAATACAAGAAGCAAAAAACTTCTCACCTTCTTGTCAATGTTTGTACAGTAGATAGTTCTTGCACACATCTGCCGTTCATCTTCGTTCTGAAATTGAAATAAGAAATGTTTAAATGGCTGAATAGATAAAGATTCCAAGCTATCAACAAGTTCCAGTACGACAAATCGGTGACAACAAGCCTCACCCTTGGCAAAAAGGTCGGGTTAACAGGTGCAATAGCTGTTTTAGATGGCATAACCTTAACTGGATAGAACCCGAGCATAGTCCCCGACAGACTCAGTGCAGCTTGCGCACCTTCTGCACCACCAAAACCGAACCATCAAGCATTAAAGAACATAAACATCACATTTACAGTTACATTGACAACCACCTAAATAGATAATGCATCAAATAACCACAGTTGAACATCACCTTCATCGGTGAACTCAATAAAGGCAAACCGAAGTACAGAATTAGGATCGCCACATATGCGACAGTCAACCACCTTGGCAAGAAAAGCAATTCATTCAGACACTGTTTCGACGAAAACAATAAAGACGAGCGATGAGAAAAATATCACCTGCCCGCAACTCACAAACAAACCGGCAAGTTGTTCTTCAGTGACCTGCATTCCCAACAAGCAAGACACTACATGAATTTAAATACCAAGAGAAGATAAAACAGAAGCAGCCAAATCGATTTTCGGCTTCCCTACAAATCTGAAAACGCTGAACATATAATACATATATACCTGGTGATCAATATCAGACACATAAACAGTCCTACGGATAACCTCTTCTCTCTGTGCCATATTCGTCCTGCTGTTCGATTTTCGTCTCCCTTGACCGAAAATTTTCTTCTGAGAAGAAAGACAAGATAAATGAACATGATCCATGAGACCAGATGATGTTCTGTTCCCCAAATGTAATGATGAATACATAAACAATGACCTACACTCAATCAATTTGATCAATAAAACCCATCAAACAAATCAATTTCATTTCGATTTCTTCCATCAACATGACTTATAATCTTCATTGGTAAGTGAAGCAAAGAAGAAAAAAACTGGGTTTTTTTGTGGCATACCCGTTTACCAGCACCACTGCCATTAGCATTACCATTCCTCGAGATGTTATTGTTGTTTTGCAAAACAACCTTGTTGGTGTAAAGCCCTCCATTGTTAACAAGTGAGTGAGGCACAAACTCTTCGGCCATGGGATTAAGCTTAGAGAACAGTTCTTGTAACTCTCTCATGTCTCTCTTGAAGCTATCGTCGAGCTCATCGTGACCGGCGCCGCAACTTCCCCTCTGTAAATCGCCGCCGTTGGGTCCACCGATCTTGTTGTACAGCCCTTGATCGTCCTCGTGGAAGCTCGGGTCGGATATTGACTGAACATGGTTTTGCTTTGACTGGTCCTGCTCGTTTGAAGCACCCGGGTCTTGGTTCGGAACATTCTCAACTACCGCCATAGCCAGATGATCAGATAATTCCTGGAAAAAAACAAAACAAAAAAAGGCACACCCTTTTATCAACTGATCAAAAAAAATCCCAGAAATTTACAAACCCAATCATTAAAAAATGAGGGAGACAGATCGATTTTTGAAATGTTGGGTAAGTAAAAATGATGGAACCCCTTTGAAAACTAAGCTAGAGCTACAATGATCGCCATTGATGACTTAGAAAAAACAAGCACACCTCGAGACAACTACGAATTACACGAAATTGAAGTGGAAAACAAAGTATGATACTCAATAAAAGAAGGAGATTTCCATTTCCGTAATTCTTTTTCTACTCTGTTTCACAGTGAGGAATTTATGAGGAAAAATGAAAACAACAGATGATAAAGACTTCCATAATCGCTGAGCTTAATTTTTTAATAAAATATTTTTTTTGGTTGTTTGTTTAAAGTGAAGTATTATTAATAAACAAATAAATTTTCGAGTAAAGTACACAAATGGTCCCCTAACTATAGGATACTACTTTATTGAATCTCTTAACTATTAAAAGTTACAAGATACTCACTTGACTATAGGGAGCTACTTTATTGGGTCCCTCGACTATTAACAGTTACAAAATAATCACTTTACTATTCATTATGTTCCAAACTTATCTTTTTCGTTAAAAAAATTAACGCTCATCTGAGTTGGATGTTAGTATATTGATTGAGATATGATAATCGTTTGAGATTATAAGATCAGATTTTATCATGTATCACTCAACAAGTTAACATACATCTCAAATTGTAATCAATTTTTTAACAAAAAAAAATGAGCTTGATAGTCGAGTGATCATTTTATAAGTTTTAATAATTGAGGGACTTGATAAAATAATATTCTATAGTCAAGGGACTATTTAATTTACCCTATATTTTCCTCTCATTTTGGGTAAAGTACAATATAGATCACTAATCTCTTCTCTAACTTTCTTTTCAGTCATTTAGCATTCAAAAATCATAAAATTATCAAAATGTTATAAAATAATTTTAGTATAGCATCGTCATGTTGTCGACAATTTTAACACGTTTGATCCAAATTGTCTATGTAATTGATATTTAAAATTTATTCACATCTAAATTGATGGAAAGATCTACATATAATTATCTAATTGGTCTGATTTGAAATTTATCAATGTTTAAACTGATAGATAAACTCACACTCGATGACCTAATTGGTACACTACTATATGTTATGGGTTCAATTATGATGTTTTGAAGTTTGAGAATCAATTTAAAATTTACGTTATAATTTAATTAAGAACATCTACTCATTAACCTTAAATATTAATGTAATTTTTATATTTAAATTGAATCTTTTAATAATTTATAATATTTAAAATTGCAAAAAAAATCATAAAATTTATTTTTATTTAAACATAATTTAATTATCTATGATGTACTTTACCCAATAATAAATTGTGTTAATTTACAATTCCGGTGTAGAGCCTGTCTACGGGAGTTGTTGGAATTAGGTATTTAGAGTGGGCATAATTCCAAAAATAACCCCAATAGTTATCAAAATGATCATTTTTATCCTTATTCTTTTTTATAGCATTTTTGCCCTTGATGTTTTATTTTGAGATAAAAAAAACTCTCTATAGATGAAAATCATTAGTTAACATACAATTAACGCTGGAAAATAAGAGTATTTTTAACCTAAAATGAAATATCTAAGGTTAAAATGACCAAAAAATGATAAGTATCAAAGTGATTAGTCTGTTAAATGTTAGGAATATTTTGCTAAAAAACAAAACATTGGAGATCAAAATAATTTAAAAATATAATAAATGACAAAAATGATCATTTTAATAAATATTGGGAACTAATATTGGTATTATGCCTTTAGACTGTATCATTCTCGCATTTCTACGTAAGACGCGCTTCAGCTAGGTATAGGGTTTTCTTCAACCTGTTCTAGCAGCCGCCTAATAGAGAGCAGAGAAAGGAGAGCGTGGAATAGCAGAAATGAAGACCATACTTTCCTCAGAGACGATGGACATCCCCGACGGGGTTAGCATTAAGGTTAAGGCGAAGATGATCGAGGTTGAAGGTCCAAGGGGTAATCTCACCCGCAACTTCAAGCACCTCAACCTCGACTTCCATCTCATCGAGGACGAAGAGACCGGAAAGCGAAAGCTCAGGATCGAGGCTTGGTTCGGCTCCAGGAAGACGAGCGCTGCCATTCGCACGGCCCTCAGCCATGTCGAGAATCTCATCACTGGCGTCACTAAGGGATACCGTTACAAGATGAGGTTCGTCTACGCTCACTTTCCGATCAACGCCTCCATCACTAATGGCAACAAGTCCATCGAGATCCGTAACTTCCTTGGCGAGAAGAAGGTCTCACTCTCACATTCTTTCCTTTTTTTTAACATATTTATTTCTGCTTATATTTATGTTGAATTAGAATCTGATTGTTACGGTAATTTTATTAGAATCTGATTCTTAATTTTGATTCCAAATAATTTAATGTTGAATGTTAGTCTGGTCTAGCGTACAAATGTGCTGAAATTATAAATTCATGCTAATTCCAGTTGAAACAATTGATTTTATTATGATAAAATAATTTCTAATCGAAAATGCCTTATAATATACGATTTTAATCAAATTTTTTTGGATTTGTTAAAATGACTAACAAAATCGCAACGCGAACTCTAATTTTTCAACTCAGTTTCCAAATTCGCAACACGAATATCCAGATTTACAACGCGATTGTAAGATTCACAATGAGATTGTAAGATTCGCAACGCGATTTTGAAAAATGTGTTGCGAGAGTTTTAAAAACATGTTGTTGCGATAGTTTGAAAAACATGTTGTTGCGATAGTGAAAAAGTGTTGCGATAGTGAAAAATCTAAAATAAGTTTACATTTTAACTATTCCAAATTCACGTAGAGTTTGAAACAATAAAGAATGTGTTGAGATAGTGTAAAAGATTCCCAAGCCATTTGTAAGATCTTAGTTTGAAACAATAAAAAATATGTTGCGATAGTGTAAAAGATTCCCAAGTGTTTGCAATGCTCAATCCCACATAGTATTAGAAACACTATTGGGAATGAATATTTAAGGCTTGGATTTCCCAATTCCTTGTTGAATGGAAGAGAACAAGGGGGACTCTCACGCATCGCCGCCGTCCCGTCTCGTCGTGGTCGTGATAATACGTGTCTTCGACACGTCCGCGCGGATACTATCTTTTTAGAGAAAATTCTTAAGAAACAAATGCAATACCACGAGTCGTTGCGATTTTGTATTATCGTATTGCGATAGTCAGAATCGCGTTGCGATTTTGTATTATCGCATTACGATAGTCAGAATCGCGTTGCGATAGTCAAAATCGCGTTGCGAATCTGGAAACTGGATCGCGTTGCGATTTAGATATCGCATTGCGATTTTGTTGGTCATTTTGACAAATCGAAAAAAATTTGGTCAAAATCGTATATTATAAGACATTTTCGGTCACTGAGGTTATTTTCTCTTTTATTATTCCTATTGATCTAACAGAACCTCCATTTGCAATCCTTTTTTTTGTTCACAACTATTGCATTTGCCAAGAACCATCTTTTATGAATCCATTGTGTGAGCAAGATTGGTTGGATTAGCCCAGATTCTATATGTTATATATTTACTCACGTGGCTTTCTTGTTTGCCTTTATGTTGTATGCAAATTTTATTAATTCCTTATGCCCTGCTTCTGTTGCTTGTCATATGTTACTTGATTCTGACTTCATTGACTGATGCTTGAAATATCAGCTGCTGGTTTTGCTTTTATACCAAGTTGGCCCTTGGAGGGTTCAAGGAGCCAAATGTTAACTGCTTTTAGTGTTGAATTGTCATGCTATTTATGTTTTAAGAGTCGCGTGTTTATCTTTTTCGATTTATATGATGTCGTATTAATATGGCTGCTCTTCTGTTGGTAAACAGGTTCGCAAGGTGGATATGTTGGAAGGTGTCTCCATTGTGAGATCCGAGAAGGTTAAGGATGAGATCGTTTTGGACGGTAATGACATCGAACTTGTTTCCCGATCTGCAGCCTTGATAAACCAGGTACTTGTTCAACTATTTTATTCGAACATCAAGTGCTCATCTTCTGCAAAATGCTGGCTTTATAATCATATCGTTTGTCCTTTATTTTGAACAGAAATGCCATGTGAAGAACAAGGATATTAGGAAGTTCCTTGATGGTATCTATGTCAGTGAGAAGGGCAGGATCGCCGAGGAGGAATGATTGTTGTCTCATCGAGTTATAGTAATAGCGCTGCTTTATTTTTAAGTGGTAGTAATATCTTGGGACTTAGCTTTTTTGTTCTCTCTTTCCTTTTTTACATGAATTGCGGCTGGTGTAGAGTACAAGGATGTTGTCCTTATTTGTTGTTTGGAGAATTTTGGATCTGTTTTCAAAGAAACCTTCCTTTTAGTTTTGTTTATGGGCATCAGATAATATCATATTTATAATCGGGAACAATGTCAAATTTCGTTGATGTGGATATCGTACGAAGGGGTGACGGACGAGTACAATTTTGTGAATTTTATATTTTACTCTCTCTAATTGAGATAATATATGTATAAGTTTAGTGGGTAGTAGGCGGGTGTAGATGTAAAGAGATATCCACACAGGTGATGGGGTTGAGACATTATCTGTCCTGCAATTGCCTTCCCACTATCTATCGTATAAAGTTTAGGCTATTATGGATTTAGATATAATTTTTGAAATTATTTTGTAAATATTAAGATTTTATAATTAATGACTTGTAATTTAATCAAATGTTAGGGTATGAATGATTTTAGAATTGAATACCGTCATTTTTTCTATTTCAGATTGACGGATAAAGACGGGTACATATTTGAGAATGTACTCGTATGGATGGGTGTGGACTCAAAAGTTTTACTTGTGGGCGGTGGGTAGATGTATATTCGATACTTTTTGCAGAAGAAGAAAATACTATGTCTGATGGTTCAGGTTAAGTTTATACCACATTACTTTATATTTACTACAAAATTTATAATTATTTGTTCAGTTCGACCAGCCTCACAAAAGGAAATTGTTGGAAGCTTCAGAATAAAAAAGTCTTCTCGCAAAATTTTTTTCTTTAATCAAATTAATTGAAATTCAATAAAAAATTTATCTAATTTAAATGCTTGGGGTTTCAAATAAGGTTTAATTTGTTATTTATTAATTTGAATTTATTTATTACATTTACAATAAAGTATATTAAAAATTAAATTCTTACCTCAATTAGAGATGTAATAATTTCATCCGAATAGATTAAGTATGAACCACTTAGGTTCTCGATTCGTAAGTGAAGTTTTGAATATGTTAAATACAAGGGAGCGATATTTGACGAGAAAAAGGAGTATTGAATATGTAAAAAAAACGTACGGCATAGAGACGACCTACCAAAGCTGTCTATGGTTCCCGTTCTGGTATCACTGGTCGAGAACCGTCATCGACGCACTGACGGGTGGCTTCTTCCGGTGCCGGTGACGGCGGAAGACAACTACAACGGCAGGTGGGACAAGAGGAGTTCGAAGCCAACCACTGCTGAATACATTGCACATGGAAACCGTGTTTACATTTCGAGAGCACTTGAATCCCATCGCCCTCCACGAATTCCGACGAGCAAATTGCGCATTCGGGTTCACCCTCCGCTCCGGCGAGCTTCATCCCGGCCGAATAGACCACCGTTGGAGCCGCCACCATGCGTTCTATACCCGCCTCCGGGACAGGCTTTCTCTCCTCGAGCTCTCGCTGGGTTAATGGAAGGCCGAAACGCCGCGAACGGCGTCCTCCTCCTCCGCCGTGACCACCGCGTAAGAAACAACGGATGACGGCGTTGAGAACCACGGAGCAGATTAGAGCACAGAAGAGAATGATTAAGACCATGGCTACGTTATCTTGAAAATCATTTGCGTTCGTGTAGGGGTGCCACCTGCATATGTGTGGACTACACGTGGAATTCGAAGTGGAAGACATAACCGGCGACTCGCCGGAAGAAACCGGTGGAGCCGGCGAAGTAGAAGGCCGCATTTGATCTTTTAGGCTGGAGATTTAGTGTTTTTTGGGGAGAATAATTTTGGCGCGTGTGAAGGAATGGAGATGTTTATTTATAGGGAGGGATATTTAAGAAGGCATAGAAGAAATCCTTACGTGCATCAAGGGCTAACAATTTCTTGTCATATCTTAATTTATTGATGTTTAACTTTCCTTCTTGTACTTACTCTTTTTTGTTCTGTTTCTTACATAAAAGTGTTTAAATTATTAGATTCATGACATCATAAAATGAAAAAAATAAAGATAAAAGAATTATTTTATTTACAAAGTTATACTATCAAATTTATGTTAATCGATTAATAAATTAAATATTAAAATAATTAAGTTCAATAAATAAATAAAAATACAATAAAAATCATAATATATAAATATATAAACCAAAGTAGGGTAGTCAATTATCTCTCTACTATTCAATAATTGGTGTTTTAGGTAAATACGAACTAATGATTTTATGTTAGGAGATTAATTTGATTTATTTTTTTATTTTAAGAGTGAATTTGATTTTTATTTTATTTTAGGGGTAAACTTAAACTTATAAAAATATCTCAAGGGACAACAATATATTTTTAATAAAAAATATATAAAGAAAATCTAAAATATATAGTAATTTTAAATTTTTAGAGAAGACTGTCCTACCCACCTGGTTCATTTTACTCGCTGATTTCGAAAAATATAATATATGATCATTTTCGTTTTTATTTACTTGAGATATGATCACCACAAATTAATTACATTAACAGTTAACATATTAGGTGACGTGGCAATTAAATATTTTTGATATAATCATACATTTAATCTCTGTCATTTATATATTTTCTCAATTTGGTCACTATTAGTCCATATTATTTACATATTCTCTCAATTTAGTCACACATTCTTAGCGTTGGTGACAGTTAAATTTATTCTAATTTAATAAAAGTAGAATTAAATTGAGAGAATATATAAATAACAATGACCAAATGTATGATTATACCAACATATTTAATTATCACGTCACCTTATCTGTTAACTGTTAACGACAGTTAACTCGTGGTGACATATCTTAATTAAATAAAAAAAAGTAAATATATATTATGTTTTTTTGAAATTGGTGAGGAAAAGTTAACAAAATATAAAAATAAGTAATCAATCATGTAGTTAATCCAAAAATATAATACATGACCATGGCTGTGAATCAATCATATGTACTAAATTGTAATTCAATTTTATTAAAATTTTCAATTCCGAACATGATCAAGGCTGTGAATTATTTAGATGTTGTACAACATATGATGAATGTTATGAATGGGGTCCATTGTGCACCAATCTCTCTCTTAATCATATGAGCCCTTAATTAACCAAAAGGGTCGCTTTTGCAATTTCCCCACAGCTTTGCTTCTCTGACAGCCTTTGACGAGTGGGTCACAATCTAACAGCTGAATGTGAGTGACCACTCCCAACACTTGCAAGACGCAATCAAGATTAAATATTTAAAAAGTTATGTAAATTTAAGTATCTATAAATTTTGTTCAGCTCCTTTTCTTTTTTCTTTTTATTACAGTTTGTGCTATTTTTTATAGAGCAAATTAATTTATTATTATCTGATTTTTTTAATTGATGGTAGTATCGGTTTTGATATTTGTTACCGATAGTCAGTTGTCTTGTATCGGTTTGATATTTGTTACCGATAGTCAGTTGTCTTTTTTCTTTGTTTCTTTTTTAATTTTTTTAATAAGAATAATTATGTCTTTGTGATATATTTTTTTCTGTCTTTGTGGTATATTTTCTCTACCTTTTGGTGGTTTTCGGTCGTTTGACCGTTGTTTTTGTTTATTTTTTTTTCTCAAGGTTGAATTTGACATCGCCATAACTGTTCAAGATGACACTTATTTGTTATTATGTCAATTTTTCCAGTTTTGAACCATCAGATTGATTTGTATATGTGTTTTGCATTTTTTGATAGTTTTTTCGGGTCGCTTGACTCTGATTTGCGATTTGTCGGTGGTCTTTCAGTAGCTTCATCTCTTTTTAGGTTCGTTTGCCGATGCAATCAGATTTGTTCATATTTTTATATTGTTTTAGTTTTTTTTGTTAGGTTTTTTAATCTTTCCTTCTTTGATCCTTGTATGATCTAAATAACTAATTTGTGTCAATGGTTATAGGAAAATGTCCTAATTATATTTTAGTTTGCAGTCATGCTTGTAAATTTTTATTGTAATTCTGGATAGTTTTTATTTTCAATAAAACTAGCTACTTTTTATATATAAAAAAAATATCTATATTTTAATATCAGATAAATTAGATTTCTTTAAATTTAAAGTTTAAATACTTAATTAGCCTTTATAATTTTAGAATTCAACAATTTGATCCTTCTCTTGTGTGAAAATTGAATGTATAGGTGGTGGTAGTAGTGGTGGTGGTGGTGGTGGTGGTGGTGGTGGTGTGGGGGGGGGGGGGAATTGTGAAGCAACTTGTTAATGACTAGGGTTTTCACTTTTGTCTTTGACCAAATGAGGACAAATAAAGCTACGCTAAAAGTTGTTAGGATAAGTTTGCATTGCGATCATCTTTTCCACAACACTATACCCCCATGAAAGCCCTATCACCTTCGATCCAAATTTTTTTTATTGAAGTTAATTTTAACGTATAAATTTTAAAGTTTAATTTAATTTTGTGGGTCTAATTATTATATAAATTTGGTTTCTTGATTTGATTTTGGATTATTTTTAAACCTATTTATCGTGGAGGATTCAGAAATATTTTATAGGGTAAATACATATGTATTAATAACAACAACAAAATCGTATGAAGTGGGCACAATTAAAATTTCAGGATGGACCCCTTAAATAAAAATAAAAAACTAACATAAAAAATTCGGTCGATTTCGAATAATTTGAATGTTTATAAGACACAAATAATTTTATAAGATCTATCTCTCGTTCAATTGTCTCGTTAATTGACGTTGTCATGCAACACTCTTTTTTCTTTATCCAAGTTCAGGGATGTTTTTTAATGAAAAAATGGATTAAAAAATCACATTTATCAACTTGAATTAAGAAATCAAGTTCATATACAATTTTTTCATACCCAAAAATTTCAATAAGTGATTAAAAATGCAAAATTTGAAAGTTGGTTGTTAAAGTATAAAATTAGTAAAGTTTAGGGATTTAAAGTGTAATTTTAAAAAAGTTATATACTTTTGTCCTATAAATGGATAGTTACCTTAAAAGAAGGACTTTTATTTCTGTTTGACTTTCGATCCAAAATTTGTAAAAAATGCTATTAATCTATAAAGTTCGATAAAATAATCAGATATCTGAATCGAATAAAAAATTTACAAAAATTTGAAGCATGATAGTATGAGGTTAGAAATGTTGTTTTAGTATTTTTAATATGAAGAATTTGGAGTGGATCAATCAGATTAAAAGAAATTATCTTGTTTTAGTGAAATAGTGGAAATTAGTGACTAAATTTTATTTTTGAAAAATTGAAAGGGAAAAGAGGAAAATTGAGAGATAAATCTTTTATATTTATTTAAAATTATTAAATGAGAGATAAAGGGATGGCATGAGTATAAATAAGATGATTCATTAATGCTAATCTTGACATTTGGGCCAAAATGAAATTTTAATTAATTTAAAAGGCCCAAATTAGAGATGTTTGCAAGGAAAACTCACAAAAACTCTCTTCGTCTTCTTCTCCAGCTGCTCGACGTCCTCCGTAGCTAAGGTAAGCAAAGCTTTGTTTTCAATTTTTGAGCCATTTTAATCAGAGTTAGGACTAAAGTGTGAAATAAGAAATTGTTCCCCATTAAATTCTATTTCTTTTGGTATAAGTTTTTCATGATTTCATGCATAAAGAGTGAAATTGGTTTTTATGGTGGTTGAAGGAGAGGTGATAAATCAATGAAATAAGATTGGATCTGGATTAGAGTAGTGTTGTGGAATCAATTACAAGCTTAAAAGTGAATAAAAAACCACTAAGGGACCAAGATGTAAGTATACGGTCATGTATGGGTTGTATGAGAAATGTTAATTTTTGGTTGTTTTTGATATAGGAGGGCATTTCATAATTTGGAGGGCTTCTACGGAAGCTGCTCTCAACCTAGTGTTGGGGGCAGCCTACTATCTTACCTCCCCTTACCCCATTACATATGGGAACAAGGGACAACCATTTGGTATAGGAATGATTAGAAATGATGGAAAAGAGTTGTAAGCGACTAAACCAAGCTTAAATCAAAGTTGGAGACTATTAAGGAAAGTATCCAAAACTTTCGGCCATGGAGAAAAAATTAGGAAAAATTTGTATAAAAATTTCTCTTGGGTTTAAATTAGATAGAAGGATGATTTCATAAGGTTTGAATTAAGTTTTGGATCAATGTTAAGCTTAGAGGATCTTTTTGCAAGTTTTGAGAAATTGGAGGATTGTAAAGTAAATGTTGAAAAATTAAGGTACTATGGTGGAAATTATAGTTGGGATGATGAAATGTTGAATTGAGTTGATTTGGAAGTTGAATAATTCCTATGGATTAAATTGCAAGTTTTTTGGAAAGTTAGCGATGAAATTGGAAAAAGTGCAAGATTAATGTACTAATTTGGAAATATAGGGAAATTAGTTGAGTATGATGGTTGTTTGGGATTAAAGTGAATAGTAAGGACCAATTTGACAAGTTTTGAAATATGGGGGTTTAATTTGAAGAAATGCAAAATTGCAGGTTAAATGTTAAATTTTGAAAAGTTAAGTGATTTAAGGTTGAGAATTATTATTTTCAAGGACTAGGAAGGTTACAAGAGGACGAAGCAGATAATTGTAGGCTCACCGGGGTACACTGACCCTCATTATTTGAGGACCGTTATTGCTTCCGAGAAGAACGATGTTTATAGTTTGGGTGTTGTTATTTTGGAGCTTGTGACCAGAATGGAAGCCTTTTGTCCCGAAAGGGGACAATTGTTGACGACGATGGTGGCGCCAAAGTTGAGGGAGATCGCTGATGTTGGCGGTGAGGTGGTCGGGATGGTGGATCA